TAGTGATGCTCTCCACTTCTTTTCTACCACGACGAAAGATACTTGTCATCATGTCCCGTGCAAAGTCTCCTGCGAGATCTGTCGGGCCCCACTTTTCGACGAGGGGAAGCGCACGGTGCTTGCATACCCAAGTGGCTTCAAATTTCCCCCTATCGAAGCACGCTTGAACACTACTGACGTAAAAGATGGCGAGGCGGTAGAAACAGGCAAAGGGCTCCACGATCCGCAACACGAAGATATCCATCCTCCAGGCCATTACAGTGGAGTCCCTCTTGAGTTTCAACCCAGTTGCCATATTTTCTACGGTCAGCGCATCATGGAAGTGTGCGACGGAATGTAAGGGTACATCTGCATGGTCACCCCTTGTTCTGACGTATCAGTTGTCAGTCCAAAGTGGAGTGGTCATAAGGATGACAGCGAGCTCATGTAGGAGATGAGTAATTGTCTTGCGCGTTATGTCCAGATACAAGGGGTGTGATGAGGAGCTACGCGTATGAGATGGTATTGGTAGATTTGTAACCAGTCCGCATACATCTTGGAAAGAGAAGAGTGCCGACGTAGTCAAACTCGACTTGTCCATGGTACCACAAGTCAGGCTGGCCAGAAGCTTAATTTGATGCCATGAAGCGCAGACCGCAAATGAAACAGTTTAATGCATATCTGTGATGGTCATGCGTTGCGATATTGCCTTTCGTAAAATAGCAAGAAACGGGTTCATTGGATTGGCGAAATTCGAGTACAGAAGCCGTGATGACATTAAGCTCGGTAGAGGCTTGTACGCCGCCCAAGAGGTGAGGTGGGTCTAAGGTTGTGATAGGCGGTCAATTGTTCCTCGCATTCACCATGCGAAATGTGTGAAAAAATAATGGTTCCTGCGTTGATTGCCGCCAGGGTTATCTCCGCGCTTTTACGTACCTTTGGCGCTCTTGTTCAAGTACAACGCAGTTGGAATTGACTCCATGGTATCGAATTATGTGCTATTGCTGCAGGAATGAAATTCACAATTTGATACTATCAGATGAACACACTCACAGTCTTGTTGTAATATTTGGTATGTCCATATCAGTAAGTACTGCAGTCTGCCAGGGAACCGATCAGTCCTGAGACGTCTTTTAGCGCTGGCTCGTTCACAGGGTGACGTTTCAAATATTTTTAAGAGCCCTCCAGCGCTCCGGTTATCTTGAGCGATTGTTTGATGTCCGCACTTTGTGCGGAGGATATGTAGTGAGTCGAGAATTGATATTTCGAGTTTCCGAATATATGTACTACTCCAAAATAAGATGACAACGGTTTTCCTGACGCTGGCGCTGGAGGATTGGCACCTAGACCTGAAACGTGCGCGTGGAGCTTGGAGCTAGACCCCAGTGTCAGGGCCTTAGCGATTCGATTACGAGTCATGAAACATGATGAAGCGCTGACGACGGAGAGCCAAAGACCCTTTACTTTCACTAGGTTGATGGTGTGTGCCGTCGCGGCAGAAAGAGATAAACCTGTGCCAAATAGATGTATACATGGGAATAATCTGATGATTTATTATTCACACGGCGACGACATAACCCCAACGCCAGACAGGATTACAACCACCCCGAGATATTCAAAAAAAATAAACAGGCGAAACTTTGCTATTCTTTATTCCTATCTATCCCTGTATCACATACCCGGAGCGTGTGCATGGACAATCCACAGCACTACCAACCGCTTTCCCATGCACTTCATCCTCCTGTAGTGCCTACGTACGAGGAGGAGGAAGAAGAGGAAGAGAATGAAGACGAGGGTGTCGTCGAAGAGCAACTTGATCGTGAAGACGACGATCACGAGGTTGGCGTTGGGTGCGTAATTACTGTAAATTGTTATGATGACGCGCGTCTGATTGCAAGTATTCGTAAATACTCATATTGTATGTGCTCGTCATATCTAGATCTACACAACATCAATCAAGTACAACTGCAGCTGGAAAGCGTGCAGGTACAGCACAACCCGACCCGCCACAAGACTCAGAACGCAAAAGGCGTCCTGGTCGGCCCCGTGGATCAAAAAACAGACGGTCACGGGCGTCAGCTACTGACTTGAAGGAGCCAGCTAATTCTGCCACAAAGGCATCCCCGCCACAACACGGGTTCTACCAGTATACTGCCTCTCCTACTCCAGGAGAGATACAACCACACAATCAGCAGTATTATGAGTTTCAGTGGCGTGTGCTAAACTTATGTGCAGAGTTCTATGGAGCGGCTGAAGAGCTTGTTGTAAGCGTCCGCTGCGTGATTTTGAGGTGTTGAAATAACTTCGCCCAGAAAGCTACACCCTCCCTTGTTATTGCGCAATGTTACCAGATGGGCCCTGGCGTGAAGGTAGATCCCTTGGCCATGCTTGGTGAAGCGAAAAGAATATGCGATACCCTTGTGAGTCACATGATTTTGGTTGTCAAGTCTGTCTTGTCCTTATTTCTCAAAGTTGGCATCTCCCTCTCGATTAACTACCCACCCGCCACCTGCACCGTACTTCGTACCTGGTTACCCAGCTCCCATCCCGCCACCGCCGCCACCACCTCCACCCCAACCCCAACCTGGGCCATCCACATCCTCTACAAACGGCAAATCCCCCATCACTACAGCGCCAGTAATTTCGGATCCGCAATCATTTGTTGTTTCACTGGGTCATCAGCAAGCATACCCATACGGCGCTCCAGCATACCCCACTGCACCATACTATGGCTATGGCGGATACGGGGGTTACTATCCTCCTGTACCTCCACCTGGGCCAAGCCCAACACCTGCGACAGGTTCTGCGAGTGGAAGCACAGGAGGTGCTGCGGGAAGTGGTGGAAACCAGGGTGCCTGGTCCGAAGAAGAAACGGAAAGGCTAAAGAAGCTTGCTGAGGAGCACCGCAACGCTAGCGGGGAAATCATATGGGATGCCCTATGCGAAAAATGGGGCAACTCTCGCACAAGGTAAATATTTTTCCATGCCGCATTGATTCTTTCAGGGGCTTATCACTCAGCCTGATAGACACCAAATATTGATAAAAGCAACCTCGCTAGGGTTGAAAGAGTCCTCGTCACGAGGAACGAAACGAAAACGGGAGACGGATGGCCAACTTGAGCGCCCTCCACCTACAGCTCCCACACCAACAAGTACAGATGCTCCCCATCAGACTCCAGTTCCGAATACCGTTCCCACGTCTGCTTCTCAATCCGCACAGGGAGCATCTGCTTCTCCAACACCTTCAACACCAGCACCAGGGTCCACTCAACCTTCTCCAGCAATTCGACACGCACAAACGCAGCAGCAACAGCAACAGCCACTACTACACCAACAGCCGCCAACACGTACTCTCCCATATCCAATGCCGACAGTTGCTGCTACAACCTCACCTGTTATATCCACCTCGACGAACCCGATAGATCGCCCGGGAAGCGGAAATTACTATCGCACACGACCAGCACCTGTGATGAAACCTGCATCTTCAGGATCGACACATCAGTTCATGTATCAGCCGAACGGAGGGCGCCGAGATGGTTAATTGACATGTTTTTACTAGGCCGGGAGTCGTTTGCTCAATAATTTTGCTATCTTACTTTTTGATACCGATGCAGCTTAGTGCAGACACTAGTTTTCTACGTGTAGATATCGCGTATATGGTCGGTCGACGTGTTGTGCTTTTTGCAGACCCTGTATTCACCTGTCTAGAATTATCGTAAAATCATTTTGTTGCGACCGCGCAGGGCTCGCGGACTTTGTATTGGGAATAAGTTCTATATTTCGAGCGAATAAAATATGCAACTGTAAGCAGGGGGCTTACCACTAAGGTTGATTTGTTTTGAAAAAAGTAATATGCTAAACCTCGAACACGCACACTAGTACTCTGTTTCATATGCTTCAAACACTTCCATGGTGTCCAAGCATAGGGTCAAGGCCCCGCTGCTGGCAGGACCTTGGAGGCTTTCATATGTATATATGGCCTGCCCTAAACTGTTAAAGCCTCGGGACTCCGATAAATTCGAGACATTCGGAATAATACTAAGTACCGATCTCCGTAGTCATCCTGGATTAATATTAATATTGAGCATGTATTTCTTTGTTATGAGAAGTCTGTTTTAACTCGTTCACTGGTTGGACGATTCTGAATAGCCTCGAGGCTATGCTCCTCATTTGTTTTTTCACTGTGTGGTGTAAGATTATGGTGTCGATCCTCTGCTTGAAGGAGAATCCAAATCGGTTTCAACGGCCGGCGGCATGGTACTGAACGCACACACACCTGCAGAGAGGTTTCACCTACAGCCTCTCCGATATTTTACTAGGACGACCGGCCGCCGGTTCGGGACCATTTAGCGCTTGATGACATTTCGGATTAGCAGGCACATCAAACATTATGAAGATAGGATGCAAGTAGATGGGTACGATTCTACAAATCTAAATAGAATATATTACGGATTAATAGGAATGGTAGAATATCCAGAGCAAGGATGTTACAACAACTAAGGTATAGAAGATATTTACAGAAATGAATGTGCAACGAACCAGGCAAATGTACTAGGATATGTGCGAATGAGCCTTGAAGATATGGGATCTAAGCGTATGTTTGCGAGAGAAAGAAGCCCAACACTGGCTGCACCGGTATTTGACCTGTACATGCACTTCCTCGATGTGCCGAACGATGCTTTCCCGTTTCATGGGGGATCTTGCGCAGCCATCCCATGTACACTGTATCTCCAAATCCCCAGGCCCTTTCACTCCATGCATGCGTACGTGTTTTGAAAGATCCAAGACGCTGATGCACGCGCCGCATGGTATGCCCCCGCCAACGTCCCACAGACAGATGGTGTGGTCAGGGCTTGCGTGCACAGTGGGATCATTGTGAAAGTCCTGTGGAACAACACATTAACGTCAGCAATAGGTAGTATGACGATCAGGAAAGAAGACTGACAGTGGGAATATCAAACAGGTGGCCTTGCACTGGTAGAGAATGATCTAGCGACATGATTGCGCTGAATGAGAAGAGAATCAATCACTAGTTAATGAGAGGACTCTATTCTTGGGGTTATATACTTTATGCCAGAAGGCCGAGCCGCAATTGGCAAACGCAGAAACCCAGATGATCACAAGGCCATGCCATGCCAGTCCGTTCAAAGCGGTAAACATACCTGGCCTATCAGACCGATCTGCTATAGCATGAAAGCACATTTATGCAACGAATTCCGGTGGTATTGTGCGATGTCATTTCCGCTGTTTGACGTGGGCTGTGGATATTAATATGAAAACCATATGGACCACTATGGAATAAGAGTCAGATAGAGGCAGAAGCTTTCTGGGGTAGCGTATGAAGGTATCTGTCATGGCGCCTATAAACACTACCCTGTATCCTGTTCCGTGGTTACCCCGTGACGATGACGACGGGTAGTAGCTAGGAAGGAGAAGCCAGAAATGTCGCAGAACTAGACGCCAGCATGCATTAATTGGGAGCGAAGTATTCGTCGAGCATCGGGCCTGTGGACGATTAGCTGATCGTGTCCCTACGCAGTCCAAATGGAAGGACCTCATGACGACAGATGGAAAAGTGCACCCCAATTGGCTGCATAGTCGCCGAAGCACCTGAGTTGGACCACCCTGAGCGGCGATTGAACAGGAACAAGCGAAATAACACGACAGCCTTGATTTGCAAGAAGGTATGGCACCCGTTGACGCGTTTCATGGATTCCTGTATTGATGTGTTGAAATTCCTTGTAGAACAATGCCTGTTCCGCAACAATAGATAGAAGTTGGTCAACGGGTGTATTATTGGACGGTGGCCAGTTCACTGACATCGGCACATACAGCAAACATCGTGGCCTTTGTGGCCATGCCAGTCAAGATACCACCGGCAATTTCCATATCAATCCCAGCCTTCACCCTGTTTGTGTACGTTGATCATACAGAAACCAGTCCAGCTGCCGCGACACCATTTGAAATAAGGGCAGGGATATGTTGATTCAACGTGACTTGCACGATACAATTTAAACTCGAACTATGAGCAGAACGCGCATAAGAATTGAAAGAACCCTTCACCATAGACTGTTTCCCGTGCACTACGCAGTCCCATTGGTCCAGGAGAAAATGGTTCGCCGGTAACCTGTGCTATGATAGCAAGAACCCATCAGCCGGGGCCCTCAGGTTGGAGATACACGGAAATGATCAGAGGTGAAGTTTAACGCGTAAGGTTTAAGAACCTTCAAGTTGTTCAATGACCCTGGATGGTTCACGATCGATGTTAAATACCAGTATGGTTTTGTCGGGAGCTAGGCACCGTGACCTAGTGGAGTCATCGACTAAATAAAGCGCACTCACGGTGCTGAGTCAGCCTTGTCACCTCTTGGTCGGAAGCGCTCGCCTACCTCCGTTTTTGATTCAACTGGCCACAGCAGAGTCCAGCCGCCGCCTCTTACTCCTGAACCATCACTACAATCCCCAGTACCAGCGCTTGCATAGACAACTTTATACAAACAATAATTCTTTGCGTTGTCAACGAACGTGATCATGTTCTCAAGCCCGACATCGAGCCGTACGCTCGCAACTACCACGCTGAAGGGCGCTGGCCTCATCGACAGCGACACGCGCATGCGAGATGCCACAGTGGACAAACCTGGTGGTCGCAAGGGCGCCTCGAAGATCCGCACGCACCGCACACGTCCGATTGATGCCTACAAGGAGCCTCACGGCCCTGGTCGAGCTAGCATGGTAAATATGAGACCTTTCCCCGTTCGCATTTCTTAGCTTAGTTGATCTCCCTTTGAATGTTTTCATGTCTATGACTTGGGAATTTTGTACGTCGCTGTATCTATCGCCGTCGTATATCACCCCTTGCCTTTCCCATTGTCTTGTCTATCTACATCCGTTCTTCGTCTCCTTTTTGTGTAAAACACTCGCTTACAAATGTCTGGCACCCACCGCCGCTCGCACATGGACAGCTCGCCGCACGGACACAACCAGGCGGCGCGTCGGATGTTCTCACGATCCGCGGCGCTTCGACGGTGGGGCGGCTTCGCAGGAACGCCGTTACGGCGGCAGTTGCAGGTGTAGCGCCTAGCAAGGCGCACACACCAGTGAAAGCAGTAGAAGTGTGGAAAGATTTTGTGAACAGACGGTGGAATCCCGAATTGAGGTTCTTGAACCTAGAGGTGAGTAGACACATACGTAGTCCTCGAATCTTAGTGGTTGATATCATGGGCAGAATATGATGGACGATCCAGAGATTCAGAAACACAACTTGTTGCCACCAGGCGTCCCTGCTTCCTCAGTAAGAGAGGCCTCGGTTTTGTTCAAGTTAGCCTCGCACCTGAGACCAGCTGTAAGTCGAACCTCTATTTCCAGACTCGGGTGGAATTTTATGCTTTGACCGATAGGTCCAAACGCTGTCTCTCGCAAATAACAACATCAGCTCCGGTCAGCTCCTTTCAACGCTAGCGCACTATCTTCCTAAGCTCGCCAATCTATCACTGCAAAACAATAACCTCAAGGTTTGGCGAGATATTGATTTTATCTCCGGGCGGAAAGGGAAGCTCGAGCATTTGCGAGAACTCATACTCCTCGGAAATCCATTAAGAGAACTGGAGATTCAGAATGGAAGGGGAGATAAGTACAAGAGGTACGTTGACAGGAGGTCATCAGGGTCATTTAATTAACGACATTCAGTGACATGGCACGACGTTTCACGTCATTGATAATGCTGGATCAGGAGGCCATTGCTACTATAGCATTCGACGCTCCCGGACCTTCGTCTACTGTCGTAACGGAAAAACGGGCTACTGCAACCACATTTCCATATGAAATGCGGCCATCATTTATCACGGGTGTTGAAGACTCGATTGTCAGCAATTTCCTCGTTCGGTGCGTCATCTTATCTTATATCTCGTATCTTTGCTGATAAAAAATTATTAGGTTCTTCCCGTTGTTTGATGATCAACGAGCTACCCTTCTCGATGCATACCACCCTTCAGCAACTTTCTCGTTCTCATGTAATACAGCTATTCCATCTCGCGCACGTATACAGGGCCTTCACGTATCTAAAGAGATGCCCAATCAGCGCAAGCTTGATTGGGGTCCCTGGCTCAACAATGGCTCCCGAAATCTTAATCGCATGGGAGGTGGCGGTGACAAAGTCATTAACAGCCTCCACCTAGGTAGCGAAGAGGCTATTCGAGCCATGTCGACACTACCAAAAACAAAACATGACGTATCTGGTTCACCTGAGAAGTTCTGCATCGATGCATGGCCTGTGGGTCAGGGCGAGAACTTAAAACTGTTCATTTCCCTACATGGGCAATTCATAGAAGGTATGTACCCGCGATTCACGCGGAAGTTTTTGGCTGGCCTGGACATCCCTATGCTCTATTGCCTTGGTTGCGATGCAGTGACCTTCGCGTCTTCGAATTCTCTCTTCCTCGATCCCACGTCATTGTGTTCACAGCTGACTTTTTCCTTTCTCGCAGAACCTTCGCAGGGTATTCGGTCATTCGACAGGGCGTTTGTCCTAGCTCCCGCACCCCCAAGTTCTCGGTAAGCCGCCTTTTCATCGTGTGCGCTCGGCATTTGCCATTGACACAATGACTAATCTGACAGGGCTAAATTAAATGGCTGGGACGTTATGGTTCTGTCAGACCAGTGGTCTGTACGAGCATACTCGACCCACGATGCATGGCATCCAGGACCGATGCGTGTGCAAGCTGGGGATGTTATTCCGATGCAACAGAAACCAACGGGGTCCATCGCATCATCATCTTCATTGATCCCAGCCGGCGCGCGTGTGCAGCTAGAACACACCATATCAACATTTGTAAGTGTTCGCTTCCGTTGTCCATGCACTTTCACTTACGTCTTCATCTCCGCACCATTGACTTGGTTAGTCTGAACCACAGCGTAATCTGATCATGCAGATCTGCGAGCGGACGGGTCTTAATGCCAAGTACGCCGTAGATTGCCTCGAGAATAACGCGTGGGTTTTCGACCGTGCCATCGCAAACTTTGAGCAAGTCAAGGTGAGTGGGGTGTCTGTTTAGAGTGTTTCCAGTGAAGCCTTTACTTACCATTGTTTGTCCAGGGGTCGTTGCCACGGGATGCATTTCTGTAATGCATGAATTTTAATACGGCGAACTCCCTTCTTACAATCGGTTCACACTTATTATTAGAAGGTTCGATTCGATTACGAGGAATTCGCGGATGTCGGTCATGGACTTTAGGTCAGGGATATTGATCGCTACCCCATGACTACTCTATATACATTTGGCAAGCTGAAAGTACTTCATGCATCATCGTATCAGTTTCAATGTAACGTTTTCATTATCATATTACTATCATATCACGAAGTATTTCGGTTTGTTGCACGCAATGAAGTCATAATGTGTTTGCTTCTGGAGGTAGTTTTATCATGAGTTACTATATGATTTCCCAGCAGATTCGCCACCGCCCTGCATACTTATGACGGGTTGGGTGATTTTAAGTTTTTGTCGTCGAGACTACTACCCTGAAGGTTAGAGTGAATGACAGATTGACTCAAACGGTTGAATGCTACCTGGATTGCTACTGGATTTATACTATATAGATGAACCCGGGACAATGGGAAGCGCACAAAAGAGCGATGGGAGGTGCATTGTTTGTTTTTACCATTATGTTTTATTTTATTTTACGTGATCGCCTCGAGGCCGGTCGGACAAGCCGGCTCGAGGGCGCCTGCAACTATGAGCCTCATCAGAACATCAATGAGAAGAAGACTGAGAAGACCGACTTTTTGCCTCGTTGTGCCCCATTTGAAGTCATTATCTGTACGTATACAAAACTCAAATCCATCCTTCAACTGCACAAAATCAACTCTTCTTCTTCTATTCACCGACTCATCCGCCCTACGACCAACGCCCATAACTCATTCCCTCTCACACTCGCTGCGCGCTATTTACGACTGACGACTATAACACCATGATAAGTCGTGTACAACGCTCTTTTGAAAACTTTGCTTTGCTACAGGCTGCCTCAGAGGGCTCTGCTGCCGCAGTGCGCGATGCACTCCAGTCTGGAGCTGACATTAACGCGTCTGATAACTCTGGTAGAACTATTCTGACATGTGCTCTCACAGCCGACAGGTGAGTCATTCTTTAACGCGTTGAAAACTTGCTGAATCTCTCCGTGCGTGCTCAGGTGGGAGACTATCGACGCGTCTGACGCGTCGTTTTTGTCCGAGGACCGTCTTCAAGTCCTCCGCATGGCTGTGTCGCATCCAGAAATCTCATTATTCACGCTGAATGCGCCTCAAGACTCGATAAACGATGTAACTCCTCTTGGCATGGCAGCTTGGCTTGACATGCCCCAAGCAGTCCAAATTCTTCTAGACTACAGCTCAGGCGCTATCTCCGTCGACGCCGAGGACACGGATGGTGCGACACCTCTCATGTGTGAGTTTCGTCCGACAGTTAGCATTTATTTTGAATTTCAATTGACGGCGCTATGATAGACGCAACACGCGACGGCAGGTTGGCTGTCGTCCAGCACCTGGTACGTTATGTTTAGCTCGCGCGGACTTCAGATACCTAATCACTATTCGCTAGCTTGCTCACAATGCTAGGCCCGATCTCAGAGACAGGAATCATCGATCTTCGCTTCAATTCGCTTTACCCCATCCGCGCGTCTTGTGGACATGTGAACAGGCGCTACGCAATTACCGTCTTCGTGAATATCAGGTAACCGATTTGTAGCGCATGAGTCTGGGCACAGGTACTGATACGTCGTAATAGAACGGAAACAAAAGAGGTCTTTGCAGGCCCAGCATCGCTATTAACCACCTATCACCGCAAACCTCCACTCAGCTCAACCTCGCGCCAAGCATTCCACCCGCCACGACTTTCTCATCTGATTCTATATACCTCGCGACCGACTCTGTTGTACAAGCTGTACTTTCTGCCGATCTTTCTGTGTTGTATCCCCTGTTGTTTTCACAATCTCTTGAACCTTCCCCATTGGACCCCGGACCGATTCTCA